TTGAGCCCAAGAATTCAAGACTTACCTGGGCAACATGACAAGACCCTGTCTCTACAAAAAAAATACAAAAATGAGCCAGGTGTGGTAGTATGCACCTGTGGTCACAGCTACTCGGGAGGCTGAGGTGGGAGGATTGCTTGAACCAGAGAGGCAGAGGTTGCAGTGAGCCAAGATCATGCCACTGCACTCCGGCCTGAGCAACACTGCGAGACACTGTCTCAAAAGAAAAAAAAATGTAGAGTCCTAATACTGATAAAAATGAGATGTAGCCTAATAAATCAACTGTGAGTTTTTACAGAAGATGAAAACCAGCTGGGCATGGTGGCTCACACCTGTAACTCCAGCTACTGGGGAGGTTGAGGCAGGAGAATCACTTGAACCTGAGAGGTGAGGGTTGCAGTGAGCCAAGACCATGCAATGCACTCCAGCCTGGGTGACATAGCAAGACTCTGTCCCAAAACAAACAAATAAACAAAAACAACAACAAATGAAAACCAATATCCAAAATATTGGGGGAAAACCTATAAGCTTTAAATAAATATGGATTAGATCTACATCTTACCTGAGCTCCGAACTGTATAACTAACTGTCAAATGACAGCATGTAAAAAAAAATGTATTCATGCTCTTTTCCCCCATATCCCCTTTCTTCTGTCATTTTAAATTATGACATTGTCACACCACTGCTCTGTCGCTCACCTGTAAGATCCCACGGAATCTGTCCATTCTCTATTCTCTTAGGCCACTATCATCCTTCCAAACCGGTCAGCCTGCTTCCTGTCCATTCTCTACCATGCAGACATAGTGATCTTTCTAAAACTGAAAGCCTATCATAGAATTTTCTTGCTTAAAATACTGGTTACCACTGCTTTTAGCACAGGATTTGAACCTTTCAACCTTACATATAAAACTTCATAATATAGCCAAGTGCAGTGATTTATGCCTGTAATCCCAGCACTTTGGGAGGCTGAGGCTGGCAGAGTGCTTGAGGTCAGGAGCTTTAGACCAGCCTGACCAACATGGTGAAACCCCATTTCTAATACAAAAAAAAAATTAAGCAGTTACAGTAGTGCACACCTGTACTCCCAGTTACTTGAGAGACTAAGGCATGAGAATCACTTGAGCCTGGGAGGTGGAGGTTGCAGTTAGCTGAGATTGCACCACTGCACTCCTGCCTGGGTGACAGAGCGAGACTCCATCCCAAGCAATTTTAAAAATTTTAAAAATTAAAACTTCATAATAATGGCCTCTGATTACCTCTTGAGCCTCATTTCATAACATTCCCAGGGACACCTTTCCCATCGCACCGCACCTTTAAGTTCCATGCAGCCATACTGAAATCCTTTGCAGGTGCTCAAGTTCAAGCTGCCCTCACCTCTGGGCCTCTGCATCACTGTTCCCTTTATTCTAAAAGTCCTCAAACTAAAATGGTACGCAAAATTATGTGTGAGTGTATGTCTCTATGTATATATACACAATGAGCATACATAAAAACTTGCAAAAATTGTTACAGTTATTTATAAATTCCCTGAATACTAACTTTGAATCCACCTTAAGAACCTCTTCCTGAAGCTATAAGCAAACTTACAGCTGATATTAAAAAGTTCTGAAATATATTATTCAGCATTTTTGCATACAAAGTATACATAAATTACACATATTGGTATCAACTCTTTTATGTCACTGGGATGCTATTCATTGCCCTTTGTCCAGAGAAAGTTAGCTGATTATTATCTTAAAGCTGGCTTCCCTGGGAAAGTCTTATTTTAGGAAAAAACATCCTTTCACTGTTCTGAGAACAGCAGGATCGTAGAATGTGAATATTTCTGCCTCATAATAATGCCTGGGCATGCTGTTACAAAAAAAAAAAAAAAAAAAAAACTTTTAAAAATTTGGATGATATTAGATGAACAGCTGTGTAGAAAAAGGAATGTAAAAATAAAAACTGCATGTTGGAGCATCAAAATAGTAACCATGTACAGTATAGGACCGTTTCTAATCAGATGAAGATTGAAGCTATTACATTTCAAATCAAATGTTATAAATTAGTTCAAGAATGCAGCTGAGCTCTCATTTAATTAGAAATGTCCATGTTTAAATCATGAGGTACAGTAGCTGCCAATGAAGCAAAGGGCAAGGGAAGGGAGAAATCCTGTGTCCAGACTCACTGATTCTCAACTGTCTCCTATGCAGGACGAACATCTGGGGTGGACCGGTACTGATGTAATGAAGAACTTCATGTACTAGCTAATTTGAGATTTAATGTAATTGTCCATAATTGTTTTGAAGACAATTAGAATCATTATTCTGGTCTGGACAATTCTAAACTCTTCATTTTTGTGTGGAACATATTTTCCCCCTTGCTGAATTTTAACTCTTTCTTGGATAATGTCAAGCGAATCTAGGGCCAAGATTCCCTTGGAAATAGCCTTTCAACTGTCAGATCACATAAAAATGCAGCATAAGTAGTGAGGTAGTCCTCTAGAAGCAAGTCTCATTTCCTATCTGGTGCTTGATGTAGCTCAGCTAAAGTCCAAATCTACATCCCAAATGTTAGACAATTCACCATTAATTAAAAATGAAGCAACATCATAGAAGGATTTCTGAGGTCATACAGAAAAGAATGCAATTATCCTAAGGCAGATTTTTCCCCAAAGATTATAAGCCTCTGTATCTTGTAATTAACCATGGTACAGTTAGACAGTCCAGGCAAAAGGTCTTTCTTTTCCCCAAATTTGCCTAATTCAACAACACCTCAAGTGATATAGCTCAAATTTTCCAAACGAACCTTACCCCTGGGGCTGAAATCATGCAAGTGACAGTTCAGCTCTAAAGAAAATCTTAGAGAGGGTTGTACACAGGGAAAAAAGAAAAAAAAAAAAGTCAGAGGAAAAAGGGGTAAAAGTTAACATATAAGTGGTTTTTCAACCTCATCATTACCCTTGCTCAAGAAAATACGACACAGATAGGCAAAACATACCATTGTTCTGCCCTGAAGAGTCTAAAGGACTTACTAGAAACTACTATTGTTTCCTCATGATCTATTGTGAATTTGTAAGGGATAAAATTATTGATTTTTCTTTTTTGCCATATCCCACAGCATTTAGTATTCCATAATGTCATGGGGTAGGAAGTGGAGGAGTCACAAACACAGAATGGGCCACAGCAACCCAAGAATGCTTATTGTTGATATAGTTTTCACAATCAGTTTTTCCCAGGGGATTGGGGAGTGATTAGATTTTCACAAGCTATTTCGGTTTGTAACAGTGGTTTCCAGTAAGCAAGAACATATAAGCCCACACTTTCTCTTACATCTGGCTACCACTCCACACTCTTCCACTGTGACACCAGAGAGAAGGTAAACTGGAATCAGGTCCACTGCTCCCAGGCAAGGATGGATTCCTTCTTAAAATTCCCTAACAATAGCCTGGAAGGCCTCTAGGCAGGCAGCCAGAACAGAACTGCCTAAAAATGCAAAATTGTGAAAAACAATCATTAAGCTTTCAACTGCATCTAAAGAAAAAGCTATGATTTTGGTGCTCCACTAGATGCTTTTCTTTTGTAAACTGTATAGATTTATTTTTTGTCCAAAATAATGAAAAACATAAAATCCAATCTTTCCCCTCACCCCACCTCCCAACACTCATAAAACTTCATATTTCTTACAGCTTTTTCCTCCTCAAAGAGGGAGAATTATATAAGATTTGTTGGTCTTATACTATTTGATTATTTTTTTACAACTGGTTAAATTTTTTCAATTTTCTCCAATTAATTGAATCAAATTCCTTATTTTCAGAATGCCTTATGAATAATTATATTAAAATAGATACACAGACATAATTGTTTTATGTTTCCTTTTTAGAGACTGGGTCTTGCTATCAAGGAATCCTCCCACCTTGGCCTCCCAAAGCACGGAGACTATAGGTGTGAGCCACTGTGCCTGGCCACATAATTTTTTTTCCACATAAATATTTTAAAGCATAAATACTTATTTTAGTTTCGGTCTTATCCACTAATTATATTTTCATTGAATTATTATAGTTAAATGTATATTATAGATACCTAAGAGTTTTAGATATTACACTGAGTTTTCATTAGTAATACGATATGACCATTTTAGCAATAGAGGAAAAAGTAGATTTTTAACCCTGTATTAAGATTAACATTCAAGATAATCTGTCCAGGCTGGGTGCAGTGGCTCTCTCCTATAATCCCAGTACTTTGGGAGGCTGAGGCAGGCAAATCACTTGAGGTCAAGAGTTCTGGACCAGCCTAGCCAACATGCAAAATCCCCATCTCTACTGAAAAAAAATTCAAAAAAATTAGCCAGATAATCTGTCCTCTGCTTGCTGTAAGTTATCAGTAAGCTCTTCCCTCTCTTATGCAAGTAAACATACTTTTTGAACAAGGACAATCTGCCAAGTGGAAAACAAGTTTATTTGAAATTATTTGAAACCTTTACTAAGAAATGTTAAGATAATATAGGTTTTCACTTAAACAATTGTGCTTCTTCAAATTTAAGTTGTCCTACTAACCCTTACTATGTCCCTATGAGACATGGAGTCCATTTCATGTCCATTTACGGCCCAACCCCAGATCTCAAACTCCCAGCCCAGAATGCGCTGCTTAGCAAGTTTCATTCCATGCCAGCTTCGCAGTGAAATGAAAGCTGACTTCAACACTATTACTTCCAGGCTAAAACCTAAAGATGTCTTTTCTTAACCACAAAGCATATGTGATCATCTTCAGCAAAAAAAAAAAAAAAAGTTATTAAATCTTGGACCCCAAGGTTTATTGTAACAAAGAGGAAATGGAGAATGTTTGAGATGTACATGTTCAGAAAATGATTAAATGTAGTTTTGTGGTAGACTCTTTATTAATGGAGGGGAGTATTCAGATTTACACAGGAAATCAATGATTACAGATAATGTTCAGGTCTATCCGAAGCCTACCCTTCACCAAAAAAAGACATATATGTAAAGAAAGAAACTGAAATCTTACCCAACTGATCAACAGAAGCTGCTATTGTAATGACTGATCTATTGTAGTCTTGATCAGAAAATATATTGAGCACTGACACTTAAAGGATGTTTCTTCCCTGTAAAGGAAACAAGACAGAAGTGTAAGAATGTTTTTTCTGTGATAAAATCTTAATACTTTATTTCTTCTGATATAATTAAATTTAGCTTAGTGGAAAAATTCTGGGATGTGACTTTTGGAAGTGACATTGAATAAACACGAAATTCATGAGTAGCAATGTCCACTTCTCTTACAGCGTCTTATTGTATAACCAGATGGCTCAGCTAAGACACAAGCTTTTGATATCTACAAGAGATCCTCTCTTGGACTTATTACTGAATTTGCCAGAATTCCCTTAACTCAGTCTAAGACAGTAGCTCCTTTCTTCAATGGCCAAATCATATTACTGTAAATCCTGTTCCTTATCAATCTCATCACCTAGGCCTTGTCAATATTTCCTTCCAAAATCCAGAAACTAAACTGTTTGGGTCAAGATCTGACATCTGGTAAAACCAAAATACACCAATTAGTGCCCAGAGCAGAGGTTTTTGAGACGAATGCACCTGTCCATTAGAAACTGTTCCAAGTCCACCATCTCCTTTTCGGAGGCCACCAACAGCCTTCAGATGTTAACAACTTCCAGCTTTTGGTGGTTTGTGACTCTCTTGAATATGCGTAACCTGGAGGAGAAAGCTGCCATTCCCTTGTATGGCAGCCATACATAACCCCAGAGTTATTTTTGAAGTTTACAAGCATGGTCCAGGCTCCTTAAAAGTCCCCCTTATGCCTACAAAAGCAAATTCAAAGTGAAGGACAAAAGTTTTCAGGCGGTAATTAAACATTTAGTTATGCTATTATACCTTGTTTTCCTGTACCCTGGCAGCTCAACAATTAATCTTTTCAGAGGAAAGGAAAAACAAGTTACACCCAGGAACTACAGAGCTTAGAAAGGCCCTGCACTATTAATTTTAATAATGTGAGAAGATAAACATATGTCACTCACTCATGGCCAAACAAGCATCTATAGAGTCCTGCCCTGGTGTAGGTCTAAAATTTATAACTCAGATTCCTTTACCTAAGACCTTTCTAGGCCATTTAAATGTGCTCACATTCCTTAATTAGAAAAAACTACACAGTTTATATAGCTTTATTCCACTCACTTAAAAATAAATGCTTTTAAAATATTTATTAAAAAAAAAACAGGTTCATTTTCTTAACTAGTGCTACCTTCTTTGCATTTTGAAAACCATAAAAGATGAAGTAAGAACAAGATCACGCAACCTCCTATTTTATGTAGTTTTTTAACATACTCTAACACCTGGAAGAAAAGAGATATGATTTAATTTTTTTCATCCTAAATATTCTCCCGAAAAGCTTTTATTCTCAGTTTCATATGACTCAATTGAATCAAATGCTGAAAGAATAAAACACTCTCTCCTGCAATTTCTTAAGCATGTATATAGAAAAAAAAATTACTGCTGGCAAGAGGAGCTGTCAGTGTGAATCTCAGCAGAAGTAAATTGTTTGGTATTTGTAATGGAGTATAATAGCTATAATTCCATTTGAGCTGCTGCCACTAATAAGCTGATAAAAACCGTGAGTTGAGACCCAGGCATCCATCAGTGTGTATCTTCCACAAATGTCTCTGCACATTCACTTAATCACAGAGACAGGCAACCCAATCCCATTAGATGACAATGAAGAGTCCAAGCTGGCTCTTTCCACAAAAAGCACACAAAATCACAGCTGCATACCAACTCCAAATGAGTTTTCTTATCAGCAATTATCAGGAATTTTCATAGACATTTCTAGTTCCAGCAAAGTTGCAAGACAGTAACTTAAATGTGCTCATAGTTGAAATGGATTGGGGGAAAACACGTCTTTCTTATGAAAAGCAGTAACCACATTAGAAATGACAACCGGAAATTAAAATTTAATGTCTGAAATGCTTTAGGGCTGGTTTCACCTGTTGCCAAAAAGTTACTGATATATATAATAACAAGCATTCTATTTAAATGACTGTATACACTGTTGTGTGTGTTGGTGTGTGTGAAAGTAAAGACAAATAATATCTAACCATGTGTCATCACAGGAATATTTTAAGAAGGATGAAAAAGAGTAGTATCTTTCATAGTAATACTGGCCAAGGGAATAAAGAGTTCCAGTCTTCTGTCATCAAATTGCTGAGTGATCTATGCGCATCATTTAAATGCACTTGCCTAACAGTCTTTACACAGAGGAAAGAGAGTATAAAGAATAATACTATAATGATTGCATGGGCTTTGGTGGTAGGAATGCTTTGAAAAGTAGTTGGTATTTGGCAAGTTTATTTTTCATTTAACCTGCTCAATAAAAAGCATAAGGTATGATTATGCTCTTTCTATTAATGATCAAATAAACAACCCATGAGGGAAACATTATGCTTTTATGTAAATACATCCTCCCCAGGAGCCTGTCAATAGCCTGAACAACGCGTATCTCAGAGACTCATACAAATGTGAAGAATTGCGCTGCTGAACGTATGCAGACATTTGAAAAAGAGCATATGTGCACATCTGAGTAGCTGAGCTATCTCGTATCCTGGAGTTGTGCAGAGCTGTAACAGCTCAAGAACAAGGAGGAAAATTCAGGAAGAAAGAAAGAAAAGTGTTCTGTAGATAAGGTGTGCACAGTAAAACACTACAACATTCAGCTTCAGTTGTCTGGTTTTCCTACCATTTTTGTCAAGAAGAGCTACTTTTGCTGTGTTCTCAACAATGTATTTTCTTCTGGCTTCTGAAATGTTTAGTAAACAGGCAGGCAAATGAAGCCCCACTCTGGAGGAAGACATGATTTTTCTGGAATAGGAGAAAAATAATTAGGTGTCTCTAGAGTTGATTTAGTTTCATGTTTTAACTATAAAAAATCATAACTTTTTAGAAACTATGCAGTCATAATATAAGCACTTTACTATTTCATTCCTAGAAAAATTCTAAAGCATAAAATCCCAGATTGACTCAAATAAGAAACCATGTGTACATGGTCATGTACATATGAACATATGAACATTGTAACGACATTGGAAAATACCTGGCAGGGTCCTCAGCCTGAATTCCATCATGGAAGTGAAAGTTTTTCATTAAAGTATGTAATCCCATTTCAAGCATGGTCTTCCTTAGCCTTATCCCTGTTTTCAAGGTCTGTACTGTTTTATAAATAGGTATGATTTTTTTTGTTGTTAAACTACACTCACTGGGAAAATGCAGAAAAAGGAAACGAGGAAGATTCTTTAATATGTGGATTCTTATAAAAGCAATTCTTGTGGCAAAAAAAAAAAAAAAAAAAAGGTATCTACAGGCCAGCCATGGACATTATACAAACAAATAAGGAAGCCATTTGGGTGCTTTACATGACAATTATTCCTCCTTGTTTCAACAAAGTTTCTAAATCAGTTTAAAGTCTTTTTACAGAATTCTGTAACTTGAATTGAAAGATGACACATATTGTGATATATATTACTCAATAATACCAGAAATGTGATTTTTGTTGAAAATAGTTTATACAGGTTTTAGAGGTTGCTTTGATTCTTTTTAATACACTAGAATGGCATTTTTGACTGATTTTTCCATACTTCAAATGATATTCATGATCAAAAGGAATTAAAACATCTTAAAATAATAAGAAAATAATTCCCCTCTTCAAGTTCAGGACCATATAACATTGGTCTCTTTTAAATATCATAGCTAAAAATGAATGAGGCCCTCATGAATTCATTTAACAAATATTTGATGAGGGTTATTTTCTGACAGGTAATGTTCCCTGTGTGAGGGATACTAACCACACAGAGTTAGTGGTCTAAATCTGAGACACACTTTATAAACTTTAGAGTTTAAGCTAATGTGCTCTGGTGCAAATAATGGTGCTCTCCCGGAATAAATCTGCTGGCTTATTCACTAGGATCATTCATTGGCCTAATCATCTTAATCTAGAGAGAATTCAGGCTACCTAGCTAGCTCAGGTTTGCAGGCAGGTTTTCGTAATATGACCATCATCTCATCACTGAAAATTCATAAAAATTCTATCATTAGGTTTTTCTAGGTATTAATAACATTGTTGTAATAAAGCAACCCAGACCTCTCGTCTATGTAAACAAAAAATTGCTTTACACAAGGGGTGTGGGCGTCTTCTGGTTTTCATTTGTTTTCAGTGTGTTTATGCAGCTTAATTGTCTCATCAGGCACTTTCCCAACATAATTATGCTTTTTAACAAATGGTGTTTATGGCAACCCCTAACAGTGCAAAAGAAAGGATTAGTTTCATCCTCTCATTCCACATTTTGATTCCCTGTGGACAGCTAAATCACACAAAGATGGTGTTAGAAAAATTCTCCTTCACAGCGAAACTGAAATGAGCGGCAGTACCAGACTCAGAAAGTGACCCAAACGCAAGCCCCCAAAACACTCTGTGTTTGGTGGGACAGGGAGATCCTCATCTTCCCAGCCCATCCCTTCAATTACCATTGGATGACCTCCAGTGATAGATGAAACACCCAGCCGCTCCTCGCCCCCGCTCCTCCCCACCCCTGGAGGACCTAGACCAGCAAGTGCAAAGTACAGCAGTTCACCTGCCCCCGGCGCACGCACCCCACCGGCGCTGGGAGGCCGCAAGGAGGCTCGCCAGGCCGCGGCAACGCGTGCGGGGATCAGAACCCCGCTACTGGGACTCCCAGCGCAGTCCCGCCTGGGTTCCTGGGTGGTGTCCCAGGGCCACGTGGGCTGAAGGGGAAACCGAAGTGACTCCCTGCCTCCCCATAGGTCTCGCGGGACGCAGCGGCTGCGAGGGCGCAAGGTTGTTGCGCCTGGGAGTGAGGGACAGCCGGCGGCTGCGCGCCGCTGCCAGGCTCTAGAATCAGCGGCCACGCCTGCCGCTCGGCGGTTTGGAAGGGCAGCCGACTAGCGCGCGCGGATGGGCGGTGGGGCAGCGCAGCAGTCTATCCCGTGTCGCCGCGCGTGTCCCGCGCGCAGCCTCTGCCGCCGGCTCCGCCTCCCGGGCGCCCAGGGAGCGCCCCAACCAGCCGCGCACCACCCGGGCTGGCTCTGCCTCTCCCTCCCTGACCCGGCACCACGTGCCTGGCGTCCCTGAACGCTTCAGATTCTTCTCAGTGTTGCCTTTTCATCTGCTCTTCTGTGCCGCCAAACCCTCCTCAATTCTCTGGTCCATTTATGACTTTAAAAGGGCATTGGAATCTAATGATCAGGTCTTTGCCTATTGACCATGCACCAGCAGGGGGCTCTTCTCTGGTTTCCTTGGAGGGGACACAGGCACTCACAAACCCTTCTGGTAAATCCCCTCCTGGAGGATTAGTGCACCCTGTGACTGTGAACGGGACCCACCCCGGGACAAAAGCAGTCTTTGCACATACCCATTTAGTCAAAGTTACAACGAATATGAACAAGGCTTCTGCATTTCCTTTTTTTCTAGGCCAGTCAACCTTGAGAACACATTTCGCTTCCAAAAAATCAGGACCTGCTTTTTTTTTTTTTTTTTTTCCGTGTAGCAAGGATTAAATGTCACCATTTTGATCCAATTTTGTTCCTGTAGTGAAATAATCACTAAATAACTACTTTGACGGAATAAATTAATTTTTAAATCTATTTTTTATTTTCTAATTATAATTTTTAAACACAGATTTGAGGAAATTAACATTTATGTGGACATTTGGTTTCTAGCCTAATGTGGCATAAAAATAAGTAACATAATGAGTGTTAAAAAAAATCAGGTTCACGATGCTTCTCACATCATCATCATTGTACTTAGATGTCACAACAGTATTATGTGCGATTATGTCAGATCCAGCCTTCTCCATCTCGGAGTGTTGGCAGGTAGGAGGGTTGTTGGCAAGAGGAGGGGTGTTAACCTCAGGATCCTGGATCCATTCCAAGGCTGGTAATTACATTCTGCCAGCCAAAATTCATCCCATAATTTTAATTGGATAAATCCTTTCTGGCCTAAGCTACTGCTATGCCTGTCAAACTGTTGCCACATTTCACCCCAGAGGTGTCTGTGTTTAAGTTGCAAGAATCAGTCCCTTTGAGGTTGGCTTATCTGTTTAAATCCTCAAAATGCAGTGGGATCCTATGGAATTAAATATATATTTAGGTATTTTTTCTACTAAATCTGCATAGAAATGCATAAAGTAGATACATACCCATGTTATTACCTAAAGACCAATACCTTTCTGATGTCAGCATTTGTTAGATAGTTTTGAGAGCTTTTTAACCAGATCGATATTCCTTTCTTCATCTTCCCTTTTGAGAGCTTTTTTGGCCTCTAGCTATAGCTTCCGTTTTCAAAAAAAAAAAAAAAGAACTGTGGTGTCCAAATGCTCCTTCTATGGTAGGGCAAAGATCGGAAGCTCCTGTATTTCACCTTTCCAAACAATTGGATGATGATACTACTTGCTAAATGAGATAGCGTAATAACATTACATCGAGTCTTATCATACCCCTCCAGAGAAAACAGAGTGAATCCTGGGGGCTTCATGGTTCTAGCTGTAGCAACTGCCAGAAGGAAAGCTTTTTCCCTGGCTCCTAATCCTCTCTCCCCTCCCCGTGAGACTGTTCTTACCGAGCTATAGGCTATGGGGGCATTAAGTAAGATGACATTTCTGAAAGCATCCCTTTCTCCATTCTACTCACTTCAAACACAAATGGAGAGAAAACAGGACCCCAGTGTTCTTTGTGGTGGGGCAGCGTCTGCTTCTGCCTGAGGACAGTAAGCTTGCATTTTTGAAAAATACAGGGAGACACATACCAACCTGTCCCATGAGAAGTTTAGCGATAAGATTGAAAGTATTATTTTGTTCTCTTCAAGAATGGAAAGTTACCATCGGTTAGTTTAGGTGTACCACATGTAATCCTGCCCGTTTTGTTACATAAAAGAGCTTTATGTCACATTTGTATGTGCATCTCAAGTCTCTCATTTTTATTTAACTTAGCATGATTTGGAGGGAGTCTTCCTACTTTTTGAATCAATGTATTGTTCTGACTCCTTGATTCTTCTGCTAAACTCAACTTGTGGGCATTCATTCTTTTGCTCATTATGGTTCCTGTCCAGAAAGATACAAGCCCTGGAATAGAGATCAACTAAAACTCCCAGGGGTCAGTTCTATCTATGACAACTGCTATTCCCTAACACTCCCATTGGTTTCCTGTTAGACACAGGACACTTTTCTTTACCCTTTGTTTTCATTTTTGCAAGCAGGGAGAACTTAGTTCTTGTGAGTGACTTTCCTGACCCATCTGAGCTGAAGAGAATAAAAGGGAGAGGCTGCACTCTGCTGTGGCCTCATAGGTCTACCTGAGCCTACGGTCCAGGTTCTGGTTAAGCAGGGCCAGGACAAGGGTGAGGCCTGTGAGGCATTCACCCTGGGCACAAAATGTAAGTAGGTGCCAAAAAACTAAGGGAGGCAACATTTTTTAATAAAATTAATGCAGAAAAGAAATGTGGTTAACAAAACATCAAAATCTTAAGTAAAGACAGGATCCCCTGCACTTGCCCCTTGACTCAGGCTCACTGGCCTCACACTGATCCTGGCCCTGGGATTATTCCCTTGTACCAGCCTCTTTCTGATTGTAGGCCTGTAGAGGAAACTGCGCCACTCCATCCTGCCTGCAGCCTTTCTTCTGGCCCCCCAAATGGGCAACAAAACCAACAATGTCAAGGGTAGAAATTTCCAGGCCAGTGTAGACACATAATTCATACTCTGTTCAAGAGTTTCTAGACTTCCATAGATAGGAGACAGCCAATTTATCTCAAAAGAAAGCAAGCCAGACACAGTGGCTCATGCCTGTAATCCCAGCACTTTAGGAGGCCAAGGCAAGCAGATTACTTGAGGTCAGGAGTTCGAGACTAGCCTGGCCACCATGGTGAAACCCCATCTCTAGTAAAAATACAAAACTCGGCCAAGTGTGGTGGTGCAAGCCCATGATTCCAGCTACTTAGGAAGGAGGCTGAGACCTAAGAACTGTTTGAACCTGGGAGGCAGAGGTTGCAGTGAGCCTAGATCGTGCCACTGCACTCCAGCCTGGGTGACAGAGCAAGACTCTGTCTCAAAAAAAAGTAAATAAATAAATAAAAAGAAGGCAAATCCTTATTGGAACAAGGAAAAGAATCAGCTCTACTTACCTGATACACATCAGAGTATGAAAATTAGGTTTCCTACTGTGCTGCAGAATTTTGAAATGTTTTAAAGAACCTCCTAATTAATATTATCTATATTCTGTTTTTTTGGTGTAGCATTTATTTGTGTTCAGGAAAACATGAGTAGAGAATTAACCTTAAAGAGACAGACGTCTACTTCCTAATGCAACTTGTTTTTTTGAAAATTTTTCTTTAATCACATTTGCACTATGTCAGACTTCATTCTATCTTCTTCCCTCATGGAACACAAAAAGGTTTTTTTCTTTCATATAAATGTAGTCTGATAAATGAGAGTTTTTTTACAAGTGACCTTAGTTGTCGTTGCAGGACAGTGAAGTGTTTTTAATTACCCGTGAATTTTAAATTGTTTTATCATGTAATATTATGAAATATTGTTCTACTAGTCATTTTCTAAAATAGCAAATAGGTTTCACTGATGCCATTATTAGTTTGGAACAACAGAAGCTGTGCTATTAATTTAAACAAAGAAAAGGAGCTTGATGTCCAGAAAGAAGTGACAACAACAGAAACATCCTCTCCATACTTTTATAGGGCTGCTGTTGTTGAATGTCCCTATGTATATGCAAATGAATGGAAACTCTCAATGATACCAAGAGGGGAAGGTCCTGTATGCACAGAAATCAGACACCCAGAACAAAATCCTGCATGTCGTGTTTGCCACGTCCTAATTCAGGTGGGTGTTCAGAGGCAACCCTTGTTTTGAAAAGGAGCCCCTTGTGGAGAGAACTAGTTCTCCTGCTCTTGGGTAGATCTCCAAGTCCTGTCTCTGCAGGACACTCAAACTGAGGTTTATCTGCTAGTTTGTTTGGTTTTTACTATGTATCTCAGTGTTGGAAGAGATTTAACATTTTTTAATATGCCTCTTCATTCTATTTAATAGAAAATGTTTAATTTCTTACCAAAAAGAAAAGATTAATTTTTGGTGCTTTTTACTTTTTTTAAAAATTTTATTTCGGGGTCTTTCTTTTTTTAACAAGGTTTTTTGGTTTTGGTTTTGTTTTGAGACAGGCTCTCACTCTTGCCCAGGATGGAATGTAGTGGTGCAGCCTCTACTTCCCAGGCTTGGTGATTCTCCTACCTAGGCCTCCTGAGTAGCTGGGGCTACAGGCATGTGCCACCACGCCTGGCTAATAGCTGGGGCTACAGGCACGTGCCACCACACCTTGCTAATTTTTGTATTGTTTGTAGACATGGGGTTTTGCCATTATGCCCAGGCTGGTTTTAAACTCCAGAACTCAAGCAATCTGTCTGCCTCAGCCTCCCAAAGTGCTGGAGTTACAGGAGTGAGCCGCCATGCCCAGCCTATGTGTTTTCTTTATCCTATCTTGTGTCTTTCAGTTATTATTCAACTCTTTTAGCTTGAAGGTCTATGTTCAGGTCAAAGATTTGAAAACAAAAGTTCCCTGTCCCTACAGGGCAGAAGGGACCTTAGAGATCATCTGGCATCTCCTCATAACCCTTTGTTCAAATTCTGCCTCCATCTGGCTCAGTGGCTTACATCTGTAACCTCAAAGCTTTGGGGAGGCTGAGGCAGGAGGATGGCTTGAGGCCAGGAGGTTGCAGTTGCAGTGAGCTGTGATCATGCCACTGCACTCTAGCCTGGGAGATAGAGTGAGACTTTGTCTCAAAAAAAAAAAATTATACCTCACCTGAAACAAGAAAATAGAGACAAAAGCAGAGTGGCTGATGGAAGCAGGGGGTGGGGGTGGAGAGTTGGGTGTCCCGTAGTCCTGCACTTTGCTCCCCCCACCCATCCTGTATCTGCTTCTTCCACAACACATCTCTGAACCGTAAGGTACCCTTC